CGAATTGTTATTCAAATATATGAAATGTACAAATGAAAATACAAACAATAACAAACAACTTCTAATCAAAATATACGTAATAATCTACTTTACTGCCATATATTAGCGCACGTCAGATGCAGTCGTGAATTGAATAGAATAATGTCTGATTAAAGATGATTCGAAGCTCAAAGTACAAAAACAATGTGTGTAAATATTTAAGACTTCTTCTTCTTTAAGAATACTTCATTGCTGAAGGTCGTGTCCCTAAAAGCCCTTCGTGGCTCTTTGTACCATCAGCTTCCATTTCCTTCGGTTTTCGGATTCTCTCAGGGCGGTCGCAACAGAGAGTTCAGTGAGCGCAGTGTCTGATCTGACCAACGGTTTGGTGGCCGGCCGGCGGGTCTTTTCCCTTCTACCTTGCCCACCATAGTCAATTTTTCAAGGTTGTCTGGTGGTCGGTACCTTCTGGTAGCAAATCATCGACAGTCTCGTTTCTATGCGAAGTTGCTCGAGGACAGATTGGTTTGTTCTCTTGGCCGTCCACGGTATGCGGAGCATTCTTCGCCAACACCACATCTCGAACGTTTCTATTTTTTTCCGATCTGTTGTTCGAATCGTCCGCGACTAAGACAGTGAGCAAGAATTAAAAAAAAATCAGAATACGCTTGAGTTTAAGACAGATTTATATTTTTAAAAGCATAATTTTAACTTGCACGGTTTGTTCGTTTATCTATACTAATATTATAAAGAGGAAAGATTTGTTTGTTTGTTTGTTTCGAATAGGCTCCGAAACTACTGGACCGATTTGAAAAATTCTTTTTCCATTAGAAGCCGACATTGTCCCTGATGAACATAGGCTACTTTTTTTAAAAAAAAAAAATATTTTATTTTTTTGGTTTCATGTGTGTTTTAATGTTTCCGAAGCGAAGCGAGGGCGGGTCGCTAGTTGATGTATAANAATCAGGCGCATAACGCATTTCGTGTGACATGCTAGTACGATTTTGATTGGCGCGCGCACGCATCACGCAATCAGGAGCCAATCAGGCGCATAACGCATTTCGTGTGACATGCTAGTACGATTTTGGTCCCCATAATTTTCATACCCCGGGCCTATATATGTAAATCGATTCTAAAGGAGTAAACTCCAAAAAAAAACATTAAATCTTGCCTGTTATTTGCTTTTTCAAAATATTTTTGTCAGAGAAGAAACTCCTAGGTCGGTTCCGTTATGTGGTACACACTGTTTGATACAAATTATATTTCTAACGAAAGTCACAGGAACAAAATCTAAAATAACTAAAAAATATATTGAGACTCCAGCCGTATGTCAGAAATAAATAATATAGACGCGGTCGATTTCATATTATTTCAGAAGTATGTAGGTACATGTGCAAATCCGCAATTACGTGCAAGTTGCAAGAACACCGAGGTTCGAGAACCGGCTGGTGGCGGCCGCTCGCGACCTTGGATGTCTCTCTCTGAACCCACCGAATTGTTATTCAAATATATGAAATGTACAAATGAAAATACAAACAATAACAAACAACTTCCAATCAAAACATATATAAAGTATAATCTATTTTACTGCCATATATTAGCGCACGTCCGATGCAGTCGTGAATTGAATAGAATAACGCTTGATTAAAGATGATTCGAAGCTCAAAGTACAAAAACAATGTGTGCGTCCGAGGGGCTCCCATCAGAAACTGATTTTTTTCTTATCCTGAAACAAATAATAAATATTTAAGACAGTGAGTAAGAATTAAAAAAAATCGGAATACGCTTGAGTATAACACAGATTTATATTTTTTGCACGGTTTGTTCGTTCATTCTGAATATAATCAGACAGACGAGCTAGCAGTGGTACCTGATGATAAGTGATTAATATTGCTCGTAAACATAGATAATCCGGAACCTACTGCCTAGTATTTTTTCAAGTTTAGTATCAAGAAGAATCTGCCATAGCTCTGCTTTTTTTTCCCTACCTAAGCTGAGAGTCTTGAGAGGCTATTTCAACGTAACCTTAAGTATGTACTAGCTGAGCTCAAGGGGTCAAACCTGATTACGTTGCTAGCACGAACCCTAGCAACAGCCGTGCTTCGCAGAATCTACCACCGGATTGGAAACGCGACCCACTGAGACAACGGCGGATCCAGGGGGGGTCATGGGGGTCATGACCCCCCCTGATCTAGTTCCAGGACTTGAACTAACTTGGACTAATTGAAGAACATCATGATTTATTTATTATCTATTGTTATCAAAATTAAATTATAAGTTCTTAACTTGCCCACGACTATGTGACCCCCTCCTGGCGCCAAAGCTGGATCAGCCCTTGCACTGAGAAGATCCGGCGAGAAACTCAGTGAGCTGTATCTGAGGGTTAATTTACTTGACGAGCCCTTCGTCGTAAGCGACGGGTTCGACGAGAACGATGGCCGGTGCTTGAGGTACCTAAAAGCACCGTTTGTGGATCGGGAGGATCCGAAATGACGTGTTTGGGGCGACATCGACTGCTTCTCATTATGTCTGCAGGATCGGGAATGTGGTTACCAGCGGCCACGATGAGAGGGTTCTCGTGTCGTGCCGCTTTATCGAAGTGGGAGCTCTGCGGTGTATCGTCGAGGAGAAAGTCCATTCAGAGGCGTAATTTTTCCTTTTAATGTTTTTGTTTATTGCACATTAACCGCTGATGATGAGTCGCACACCGAACACTAACGGCTGGCCGTTCTCCGTTAGATAAGCACATTAATTGATGCGTTTCTGTAGTCAGCGGTGCAGTTGCGACGCGCTTCACGGTCCGCGGCGCGCTTTCAACGCGAACGCGCTTTTATTGGCACTTCCAACGTGAACATTACCGGTCCGAGCTGTTTCATTGAAACTAAATAACGACAATCGACTTAGCTGTTATTCAATATAGCAGTTAAAAATTATGTTAATCTTGTTGCTTATACTATATTTAGTCTAAATTTTTACAGGGTAAATTTTTAGTTTTTTTGTTATAGAATTTTCCATTTTCCATACATACACTATACTTGAAACCTTAGAACTTATATCTCAAGGTGGAAAGAAAGAAAGAAAGAAATCTTTATTCGCCAGAAATATAGTTTACAAGATATAGGACCTAGCTTCATATATTTCGCCTGTTTAGGCATGCGAAAATTTAATTTATTTTTATATTAATTATAACACAAAATTTACTAAATCTATCTATTTTTACATTCTATCACTTCTTATTCTAATATTTTATTATGTACAACACTTATCATTTAAAAATTCTTGCACACTATAATAAGCCTTGTCTATTAGCCATAAATATAATTTTCTTTTAAATNTAAAAATTCTTGCACACTATAATAAGCCTTGTCTATTAGCCATAAATATAATTTTCTTTTAAATTGAGTTAGTGGAAGATCTCTTATGCTGTTTGGTATCTTATTAAATATTCTGATAGTCATAGGATAACAGTTTGTATGGTAGTAACGAGTATTTATACTTGGTAACATTAGTTTAGTAGGGTATCTTGTATTAAATGGGTGGTGCATTTACGTTGTGGATGTCTATGGGCTCCAGTAACCACTTAACACCAGGTGGGCTGTGAGCTCGTCCACCCAGCTAAGCAATAAAAAAAAATAAAAAAAACTATTATGACAATAACAATCCGTTAGCACGTCGTTAATTGTAATGAAAACTAAAATTATCTTAATTGTGATTTGTGAGTCAGTAGTTGTCGTCTCCCGTGGTCACCCTACTCGAACCATACGAATTGAATAGTTCGCTTCGGTTTAAAAGTTCATTAGCCATTGTATTGTAAAACTGAGACTTAGAGCTCATAGATGGCCGCATGTATGTTGTTGATGTCTATGGGCTCCGGTAACCACTCCGATAACAGCAAATAGGCCGTGAGCTCATCCACTCATTTAGCAAAAAAAAATCCACTCAGTTAAGAAAGTTCTAGTAAAGAAAGCTGTTATAGAGCTATTAATTACATCGAGTCGATGGATATAGTACACGAATGGCAATGATCAAACCAATCAAATAAACTTACTAAGTGACGATCGTAGTATTTTGAGCTTTATGAACTAGCATTTTAAGAATAATGTTGCAAGTAGTAATCGAGTAATTTGATAATAGTGGACATGATCTCGCGTTATGTCAATAAGACTCTGATGTCCAATCTATTTGTATACCGTTTACGGTCACAGTAATTACTTCCTAAAAAGGACAGACTTTCACGTTGACCGCAGTTAGCCCGCGACTGAACTGCGCGTTCCCATGACCTGGCTCTCTGCACTATTGGAAACTGTAATAAGACCACCACGCCTTTATGATAACCTGGTACCGCGGCCTGTTAATCGCTAACCTTTCACATTACAAACATGTTTTGTACCAGTGAGTTCTGTTAGACAACTTAAATAACAAATTAGACAAAGAATTAGGATCAAACAATCTGAATTGATTTATTCTGTATTCCAATATGTGTAATATAATGTTTTCGTGTTTTTTATTATTTCGAGTAGAAGGATGTTTTGTGTGTCTATGACGTGAACCAATCTTGGGATTCAACTTGCAGGGTGTCAAAATAACCACAATGAAATTCTATCACATGTATCGCGTTGGAAAGCGCATTAACATTGTCATTTTTATGAGGTCCGTTAACCATTTAACATCAGGGAGGGTCTGAGCTCGTCCGCCATTCTTATTTATACTAACATATAAATCTACAGTGATTTTTACGGATGTTCCGTTATAACTACTGAACCATGCATTCAATTGACTTGAAACTTGGTATCCATGTAGAAAATACATGTACTTAATGGATAGGCTAATATGAGTGTTGGACTTCCTACACCAGTTGCGGGGGCGTTAATGATGAGAATCTTTGTGGGGGTGAGAAATAATAATGTTAATTTTAAATGCCCAGCGAAGCGGACGGGTACAGCTAGCTAGTCTAGTATATAACAAGTTGAAAACTGGTCGACACAATAAATGAAACTAGAACATGTTTTTGATCGTTTTAGGCATAACATACCTGACCGGAGAGAACTTTCTGGACGTGTTGGACAACGGCGTGGAGCTGTGTCAGCTGGCGAGTGTCATACATGAGCGAGCCCGGGGCGCGCTCGACCAGGGACTCGTTGTGGGGGTCCGTATCGTCCTGCGTATAAATAAATAGATATACGTTCACTGTGTGTTGTCGATTTCATTCATGATTTTGAATAATAATTTTTTTTTTATTGCTTAGATGGGTGGACGAGCTCACAGCCCACCTGGTGTTAAGTGGTTACTGGAGCCCATAGCATCTACAACGTAAATGCGCCACCCACCTTGAGATATAAGTTCTAAGATCTCAGTATAGTTACAACGACTACCCTACCCTTCAAACCGAAACGTATTATTGCTTCACGGCAGAAATAGGCAGGACGGTGGTACCTACCCGCGCGGACTCACAAGAGGTGCTACCATCAGTCAATATTTTGTCAGTTTCAAACAATAACTGTCGATGTTAAAAACAAAGCTAGATTTTCTGCATTCGTATTGTAATTGTGAACAAGCGTAGAGATACTCGTATCTAGAGATATATTTTAGGATTATATCAAATAATTTATCAAAAGAATTGTCGCGAGATCGAAGCCACAAGAAAAAACCCATGGACATAACAATATGTATGTACATAATACGTTAGAGCCATATTAATATGGGTTCTTACAAAAAGTTATTTTGTTGCACAAGATCAGCGATCGAGCTCGCGGCCTGTGATCAGCAGACTATACTGGATATATCCTATAATGACCAGTCAGTCCTAGGTTTAATGCCGCCACCCATTTTGATCTCAAAATCATATCTATGTTAATGAAGCATCAATTGTACGTCATAAGCCGTCAAGCCGTCAAGCCGGATCGCACGATTGTTTCGATTCTTTGGCTTACATGTCAATTGTGTGTGCTAATAATTCAAAATAGTAACAAAAAAGAAAACCGATCCAACAAAATAAAATGGCAATATCATCTATTCTACTCGATTAAATATGCATTGTAAAGGATAACTCAGAAACTACTTGTCGGTTCGTGATGAAATAGAATCATGTGAGAAGTATCATATTTAAATAAAAAATAAATCATCGAAATCGATTTACGTAAAAAAGAGCTGTGAGGTAAAACAAAAACACAAAAATTCAGTTGAATTGAGAACGTCTTCCTTTTTATTGCTCTGTTAAGAAAATACTGTTTGTCTCCATTTCAAGTTTGTTGTGATGATGTTTTTCTTTTGTATAATGTGTGTGTGTTGTACGTTGCGCGTGGTAAAGGTGGTGCCACAGATCCGCGGCCGCTGCTGGCAGCGCGCGGCCCGTCGCAGCTTCTTCTCCAGGGACAACACCGAGAACTTCATCACGTTCTGCCGCGAGCTTGGAGTCCACGAGAACCTGCTGTTCGAGAGCGATGACCTCGGTGAGAATCACTTACATCACGACACGGTGTTTCCCGAGCGCTATGACATGTCCTTCTTCAAACGAGGATTGTGGAGAGTATTAAGCGGTAGGCAGCGGCTTGGCTCTCCCCCTGGCAAAAAAACGACATGTCTCGGTATTTAACTGAAGATTTGAGAGAAAATTATAATATGGTAGGACCTCTTGTGAGTCCGCACGGGTAGGTACCACCACCTCGCCTATTTCTGCCGTGAAGCAGTAAAGCGTTTCGGTTTGAAGGGTGGGGCAGCCGTTGCAACTATACTTGAGACCTTAGAACTTATATCTCAAAGTGTGTGGCGCATTTACGTTGTAGATGTCTATGGGTTCCAGTAACCACTTAACACCAGGTGGGCTGTGAGATCGTCCACCCATATAAGCTAAAAAAATTTTAGTTTGGTGTGGGCTCCCGCGGGTAGAAATGCGCCCGCGATTGGTTTATTTCAACTTTATTGTATAGACTAGACGGATCGAGCTCACGACCCACTTGGTGTTAATTGGTCACCGGAGACAGTATGAATGCCGTCATCCTCGTTGTAACTAAAAGTCATTGTCAAATTATTAAATTATGAAAAAAATATATTAATATATATTTCAGTTCGATTTTTATTACACGATACTATAGCTCCATTCATCATGGAAGACATTAATGAACATGAGCGACTTTGTTTTATACTATGTAATGGACAAATATAATAAATACCCTAAGAACGTTATACGAAAGGAATCACTACATAGTATAAAACAAAGTCGCTTTCTCTGTCCCTATATCCCTATGTATGCTTAAATCTTAAAAACTACGCAACGGATTTTGATGCGGCTTTTTTTAATAGATAGAGTGATTGAAAAGGAAGGTTTATATGTATAATAACATCCATTAAATACTGGACAAATACAGTTATTTGGAGTTTTCGATGTGATGTCGTAAATAATCAATAATAAAATTTCCTGTTTCCGAAGCGAAGCGAGGGCGGGTCGCTAGTTTAAAATATAATTAGAACAATTGGTACGTACCTGCGGCACAGTCGCGTCGCTCGACACCGGTGCATCGTCGGTCATCTTAACATTTAGGACGCGACGACCACAAAATCTGTTATGACAAACATCACATTGTATCTTTTGTACTGACGTTTTTAAACAAAGTCCCTTTCTCATTCTGTCTCTTATTATTTTAGTTCTCCACAACCAACCCCGCCAAGTGATCCTCTGCCTGTTGGAAGTGGCTAGACTGGCCACCAAGTTCAACATAGAGCCACCGGGGCTGGTACAGCTAGAGAAGGAGATCGCGATGGAAGAGCGCGACTCCGGCCTCGACTCGGCCATGTCTAGCGCCGCCTGGCAATTCAGAGACAGCTCGCCCGAACCCGACAAGTGAGTTATGAGTTCCTGGTACCTCAATACCATTAAATAATAATAAATGAACTAGCTTTTGCCCGCGTCTTCGTCCGCGTAGAATAGTTCACAAATAATCCTTTTTTTTAACAAATTTGGTTAGCATAAAAAATGTTATAGTGAGCGAACCTTAACAAATAGACATATGTTGTCGCGGACTTTTTTTTAGATCTTTTAAAGGGGAACAATTCTGTCATACATTATTTTAGCGAAACTTTAACCGTTTCTGCAGCGCACGCTGCGGAAGCTCTCAAAAAGGCAAAAAGGAATATTTCAAAATCAGGATTATGAAATATTCTTTATTGGTACTCCGCTTGTATATCCGCCTATAGTCTTCCTCGATAAATGGGCTATCTCACACTGAAATAATTTTACAAATCGGACCAATCGTTCCTGAGATTAGCGCGTTCAAATAAACAAACTTTTCAGCTTTATAATATTAGTATAGATAAATAAGTTTTATTTCAGAATTAAATTCCATATGAAGTGTTAGTAATACGAAATCTTAAAAAAGCAGTAGATTTTATTTATTTTACATTGACCATGGCTGGTCTTGAGCCAACATGGACTTCAGTCCAGTGCCTCAGTATAGGGCAGCAATAGCGACTCCCGATCCCTATCCCTATCGCGGCCTTTTTTTTAAATAATAATAATAAAAAATAAATATTGTTAAATAACCATTGTTACTGACAATACACTTGCATTTACTTGACAAATAATACTAAGCTAAGTGTTATAATATGTATATTATGAAGGTGAATGTAAATAAAAGTAATATTTGTCTTTTACAGAACTCTGGTTGAAAATTCGGCCCCAACCCCAGATCCAAATGAAAGTAAGTGAAAGTCGATCTTTTCAACAAATATTTCTCCGTATTATGTAAGCGTTTTTGTTAGCTTTGTGAAGTGATTCTTTACTTATATTATAACATTATTTATAGAAGTCCGCACGGGTAGGTACCACCACCCTGCCTATTTCTGCCGTGAAGCAGTAATGCGTTTTTGTTTGAAGGGTGGGGCAGCCGTTGTACTGTTACAACTAAGACTTAGAACTTATGTCTCGCGGTAGGTGGCGGCATATACGTCGTAGATGTCTATGGGCTCCGATAACCACTTAATACCAGGTTGGCCGCGAGATCGCCAACCTACATAAGCAATTAAAAAAAATTGTCTGCAGGCCAAGACTCAGCGGCGGACAACGCCGACGCCGAGAGCACTAAGTCTGAAGGGACGGTGGGCAGTACTGACTCCGATGTGCCGCTCAAACCCACCAATGAACTCGATAAGAGAGTAAGTTTCAACTACACACACAAGTCACACGTATTTCTTCGTACATGATGCCACAAACTTCCTCGAGACGTCGTGTTCGATTAGCTTAATTAAATATTGTTTATTAAAAACTTTTTTTTTTAAATAGCAACTGAAATAAGCTTCGGATCGCTTAGTTTTGTGGAGCTGAGTTGTATGTACAGTGACGTAAGAAGTACAACATTGACCCCTTTCGTTGGGAGGCCCAAGCACAGAATCGTTTGGAATGGAGACGCTTGGTGCAGCGGGGCGTGTATGTCTTTGAAAACGACAGGAGGCGCGAACTGGACGACAGACGAAATAAAATGAAAAATAGACCGCCTTCGACCATTTTTTACAACTTCGTGGGTGGTGTTCTTACGTGTAGCTTCTGTTTGCGCACGTTTAAGAACAAGATAGCCATATTAGAGCGCATGAGAGGCGCGGACATTAGCCTTCAAGTTATTGAACAGAGCATTTTGGTCGCCGTTGCCGAAACCGGCTTGGAACCATGATGATGATGATGATGATGACAGTGACGTAAGACTGCGGTGTGAATCCGTGAATCCTCCAGTGAATCAAGTACAAGCTTCACTGGAGGACGTATCATGAGGATTCGCGTACAACTAAGCAATAAAAAAAAAAGCAGACTATAATAAAAGCAAACATATCCGTAAAAATCGACGATTTGTTTAATCTTTCTTGATGTGATCAGGTGCAACTCGTGACGCGGCTGATGGAACGCGGCTGCAGCTGTAACTCCGGGAAGTGTTCCAAGCTGCTCAAAGTGAAGAAGGTCGGAGAAGGACGCTACAACATCGCAGGAAGGAATGTCTTCATTCGGGTGAGCTATTTGTCACAATACTTGCAAATTTATTTATTTCTTATGTATCAATTTCATCTTACGGTTTCTCCTCCTATGAGATGGGGATTCTAGATATTGTTACATTAAGTATTAACACTTTACATAATTATTATTTTCTTATAGAAAATTCATAATTTAAAAAAAAAATAGATTTACAGAAAGTAAAATGTTTTCACGTGCTACACTTCAGACCAGGATAAGTAAATCCAGAAAATGAATAATATGTATAACTGAGATGTTAACTTCGACTGGGAATCGAAATCGGAACGAATGATTGCTGCAAAATAATAGTAGTAGTGTGGTGTTCCGCATCAAGTCCATCTTATAAGTTAGGTTTTTACTTCCAGCTATTGAAGGGTCGCCACATGATGGTGCGCGTCGGCGGCGGCTGGGACACGCTGGAGCACTTCCTGTCGCGGCATGAACCGTGCCAGGTGCGCCTCGTCACACAAGGACGCCGCGCATCAGTGCTGCCTGTACCGACCACACCAGCCTCGCCTGTCACACCCGTCACGCCCGTCACGCCCCCCTCACCAGTCACCCCCGCCTCACCCGCCGCGTCTAGCAAGCACAGCAGTGGACGTAGCTCCCCTCTTCCGCCTCCACCGCGGACGTCCACTCCACGACGTCCCGCACTGTCCCTGCCGCTACGCTCCACCGCCCCGTCGTCCGCCCCCTCGTTATCCCACAGCACGCCCTCCACGCCAATCTCGCGCTCGGTCCGTACTCCACCCGCAGAGTTACGCAAGTCGTTGACCTCCGCAAACCTGCTCGGAGCGCCCAAGAAGTCCCGCAGCGCCAGCCTCGCGAGTGAAGGCGGTGGTGAGCGGTCCATCCGTAATAAGAAGAAGTCCGTGAACACCGTCGCTGCCTCGCCGGCGCCGCGCAAACTCCGCAGCCAGAGCTTGGTGCCGGCGGCTGGCGGAGCGCCGGGCGCGGCGGGGGGTGCGGTGGGGGGCGCGGCGCGGAAGGCTCGCAGTCTCAGCGCGGCGAGCGGCGGCGCCCTCACGCAGGCGGCTATCGAGGAGAGCATCAGACTCTCCCTGGCGGCGAGCATGGTGGACGCGGAGTGCGCCAATAAGCCATTCCTCCACATCAAGGCGAAGTACCGCAGTCCACCGCCACGGGAGGTGCCTCCCAGATAAATGCTCTACTTCTTATTTTTTAGTTTTTAAAATTTGACGTGAGTTAACATAGTGACGCCCTATAGTTGCAATCGTTCTCTGCCGTCACGTTCGTGTGGATCTCCGCGAGTAATCTCTTTGTTTTTATTATCTCCTGGTGAATAATTTTGAGTAATTTTGGTAATTTTTATAATTGAGTGTTTTCATTTTAGCGCGAAACCTAGTCATAATGGAATTCGATATCGGTACCTATGTAATATTTTAATTTAATTTAATTCCTTCTTCTTTCTAATAGCAATAATAATATTAATTACTTATTTTAATTTTACGATTCGTGTTCATATAATTGTAATGTTATTTGTGAAGATTAGTTATTAAGTTTTATTTATGAAATGCGTGTTCGGGAATTTACTGGGAATGGCACTAAATATACGCGTTTCAATGGAATTTTCTTAAATGTAGTAAAAACCATACATATTATGATACCTAGCATTAAGACGTCACTGAAATAGTGCGCGGAACGTGGGGCAGGTTGAAGTAGTGTAGCCCCTCGCCGACAGGTGGCCTCAAGGAACATGAACCGTACAAATCGTTGAGTAGCTCTTCCAGAAATGGTATATTTTGATACGAGAATAGTATTTTTGCACTGGACATATTAGATCATATAATAGCACTATTTTTAGAAATAGACACTGTACTGTTGCGTGTAACAAATTATATCTTCATTCTGACACCATAGCTCTATATTGTAAAATTGTTATAAGTAGAAATCTTAATCAGTTCAAGAAATGCTGTCAATATAAAATTATTGATATGCAACAAAATAAATTTAAGGTTACAATTTAGTCACACCGGTGTTACCATGATGCCTTTTTGATAAAGTATTTTGATAAATTTTTTTAGAAATACACTATCATTCAACACTTGCTTTCTTAGTTCAATTTCACCTTTTATCTCTAACAACAGTGCTCTAGGCTCTTTACCCACAATAAAAGTATAAAATTAATAAAGTTTTTCAAGAAATTATCTTTGCAATATCAATATCTTTTTCGTTTTCCTTTTATTCTAAAAACACTTCAAAATTTGTAATTCTTTACGAATGAAAGGTCTTCCAATTTTCCTATCGACCACCAACGAACTTTATAGATTTTTGGTAATAATTAATATAGACAATAAATCCCATACGAAAATTAACTAATCAGAAAAAGTTACCACTCTTAAGTATTTTGTTTTTATATTTATTCTGTTTGAGAGGATGTAAATTCTTAAATATAAAATGTATGTATTCAATGAGCTTAGCACTTTTGTAATTTTCTTAAATAACGATGAACCGACCACTGCCACTCGTAATGTGTTGTGCCAACAGTTTATGTATGGTTGATAATAAACTTTTTGTAATTCTGTAACAGACTTTCAATTAGCTGAGTATTTGAAATTACATATTCTGTAATAATTAAATGATTTAGCATTCATGTAATTTATTACTATAATAAAACGGTTTTAATAAGTTTCAGACTTCAGTATTTAGAAAAACCCTTTAAGTATTTCTCCGGTTATACTGAAGACTTTACAGTTGAAACAAATGTTTGATTTGATTTGAATGACCACCTATCTATTTGCTCTCATTCAACGAGACTAGCGTTGCCTAATGAAAATAAAATTCAAAATTAAACAATGTTCAATAAGATGCTCTCATCCAATGAGACTTGCTTAAAACAAAACTCAAAATTAAACAATGTTCAATAAGTTAATTTAAAATTTATTTTAATTTAAAATTTAATATTACCTTGGTCTGGTTTAGTATTATTGCAATTTTAAGTCAGTAACTTCACACAATTTTAGTGCTTTAAGCCGTCGAATAGAGTCAGATTAGTGCCAAAAAGCTTCTTATATGCTGTACTGTTTGGAGCAGCTTCAATTAAGTAGGTAAGTGCACTTTGAGTTAGTTGGCTTTTACCGCTTTTATCAATCAAGATTTAAATAGAAGAGAAACAAAGATGTTTCACTTTACCGAACTTTAGGTAAAATACGTTACCCGTCACACAACAAATTATTTAGAACGATAATGCTGTTCAAAAAATATAAACAGATTTAACTTTGACTTCAAGTACGAAAAATCTACTTCATTCCATCATCAGCGTCCAGACGGACACGCGGTTGCACAATAGGAGAGACGTATGTCCAGCACTTTACAATTACCTACTGCACCTACACTGGAATCAACATTAAAATGAAAGTGATTCATTTTTTTTTATTGCTTTGATGGGAGGACGAGCTCACGGCTCACCTGATGTTAAGTAGTTACCGGAACCCGTAGACATCTACAACGTAAATGCCGACACCTGCCTTGAGATAAGAGTTCTTGGGTCTCAGTATAGTTACAAAGGCTACCCCACCCTTCAAACCGAAACGCATCACTCCTTGACGGCAGAAATAGGCAGGGTGGTGTTACCTACCCGTGCGGACTGAAAAGAGGTCTTACCACCAGTATTTACGCAAATTATAATTTTGCGGGTTTGATTTTTATTACACGATGTTATTCCTTCACCGTGGAAGTCAACCGCGAACATTTGTTAAGTACGTATTTCATTAGAAAAATTGGTACCCGCCTGCGAGATTCGAACACCGTTGCATCGCTACATACGAATGCACCGGGAGTCTTACCCTTTAGGCAGGACGACTTTTAAGTTATGTTTTTTTAATTAAGTTTCTGTTATTTAATGGAAATAAATTATGTTTTTAATCAACATAATATCGATATTTAGATTTAATTATCACTTGATTTAGAGCAGTGTGCTTAGTGCGAGTCTTGTAACGTTCTCGATCGCGTAGAAGTTAGTTCAAATTTGTATGCAGTCGGAACAGCGCCCCTAGCGACAAACGTAGGCAAACGTTCCAGCTCCATACAAAATTGTGTTAACTTTTATGCTTTCGAGAACGTTAAGAACTCTGTTAGTGTTATTAGATTCCATGTTACGATATACGCAAAGAATATTGAAAAAAACGTAACATTGTCCGTACGTTTCCAGTGTCGCAAGTCGGGCGGGGTGGCCGCGGACGTGCGGGTCCCCGTGCGAGCCTCGGTGACTCCTCACAAACGGCGGTACACCTACTACAAGAAGTTATACAAGCCCATGTGCTACGAACTGCCCAAGCCACTCAAAATATCCTTAGTCTAAGTATCAAAACTAGTGGTCCCCCGGTAGTCGAAATTCGACTATACTTAGTCTGGCCATAAATACTGTTACAATTAAAAATAAACAAAATATTACATTTGAATTTGGAATCTGTCATTTTTATATGATTGCTCATTGAGTTTTCTCATTTTGGCGCCAATACATTGTACAATATTTTGCGATATTAAAATGGAGTGGGGTGATAAAGAGAACCGAATCGCTGTGATTGCATTACACAAAGTAGGTATGGAGCCAAATGCAATTTTTAAAACTCTCCATACGCTTGGTATTAGTAAAATGTTTGTATACCGGGCTATTATTAGGTGCAATGAGACCTCCTCTGCTTGTGACAGAAAAGATCTGGCCGTCCACGTAGTGTTCGTACGAAAAAGGTCGTCAAAGCAGTAAGGGAAATAATTCGAAGAAATCCTGTCCGAAAGCAAAAGATTTTATTTCAGGAGATGAAGATAGCACCTAGAACCATGTCGCGTATTTTAAAAGATGACTTAGGACTTGCAGCCTATAAGAGACGTACTGGTCATTTCTTAACTGATAATTTAAAAGAGAATAGGGTGGTAAAATTGAAACAACTATTGAAGCGGTACGCAAAGGGAGGTCATAGAAAATTTTTGTTTACGGATGAGAAAATTTTTACAATTGAGCAACATTTTAACAAACAAAATGACCGTACTTATGTTCAAAGCTCTAAGGAAGCTTCCCAATTAGTCGACAGAGTGCCACGTGGGCACTATCCGACTTCAGTGATGGTTTGGTGGAGTATTAGCTAGGAAGGAGTGACTGAGCCATACTTTTGTGAAAAAGGTATCAAAACATCGGCACAAGTGTATCATGATACCATTCTTGAAAAGGTAGTGAAGCCCCTTAACATCACCATGTTCAATAATCAAGAATGGTCCTTCCAGCAAGACTCGGCGCCAGGTCATAAAGCTCGGTCTACGCAGTCTTGGTTGGAAACGAACGTTTCGGACTTCATCAGAGCTGAAGACTGGCCGCCGCCTAGTCCCGATCTTAATCCGCTGGTTTATGATTTATGGTCAGTTTTAGAGAGTACGGCGTACTCTAAACGCCATGATAATTTGGAGTCCCTAAAACAATCCATACGATTGGCAGTGAAAAATGTTCCCATGGAAAGAGTGCGTGCTTCTATTGATAAGTGGTCTCAACGTTTAAAGGACTGTATTGCAGCCAATGGAGACCACTTCGAATAAGCTTTTTATACTTTAAATTGTTTTATATTTATGTATTAAACTAACCCACTGTAAAAGTAATAAATGTTATTTTCCATAGATTTTTTTTTGTTTTCCCTTGTAACAGTTTTTATGGCCAGACTACATATACTTTAAACAAATATTAATAAAGACAAACAATATTTAATCTTTTTTTTTAAATGGATTTTATGACCTGGTAACTAAGACCTTTAGGTCAAGTCTTATTTTAATTTTAATGACGTAACTTTTTTATATGAAAATGATATTATGAAATGAAATGAAGTTGATTATTATGAAACATGGCATGAAGTGAAATGAAATGACATGAGATGAGATGATATGGGATGAAGTATCTCAGTAAAATGGTAGTCATTTACTGAAACTTTTTCAGTGGACTTTTTGAAAGATCCCGAGAAGTTACGTTCAGTGGCTTTGTTTCATTTTCCCACATTTGTGCACTTTCACAGATACTAAACAGTTAATAAACCACCGTTATTACACATTTAAATCTGAAGAAACACTAACTAGACAAAATAAAACAAATAACACAACTTCACTCCTCGCGTTCCCGCCAAAAAGTCAATATTTAATCTATTCTCAATTTGACCAGACTATCCAAATAATATTTTCTTCACCTTTTACATACTTCTACTAGTTATTTATTTCTTTTCCAAGAAAAAAATATTACGTGTCCTACCTTTTTTTTTCCCTACCTATTTGCTGGTAGCCAAAGAGGCTATTCCAGCCACGTCCTGATGGGTAGATGGGCTCACGGGCTCAACCTGAGAGAATTTGCTGACATTAGCCCTTGCAAGAGCAGTGCTTCGCAGAATCTACCACCGAATCGCGACCCACTGAGAAGATCCGGCGAGAAACTCAGTGGGCTGTGTCTGAGGGTTAATTTACTTGTCGAGCCCTTCGTCGCAAGCGACGGGTTCGACGACAACGATGACCGGTGCTCATGGTACCTAAAAGTCACGTTGCAAGTAAACTATTTTTGGCTGTCGGTCTCATATAGCATTATTACATCTCTTCTCGAAGTTGTCGGTCCCCGCCACACGTCGGGGGCGGGGACCGACCCCGAGCACTATTGACGTAACGACGGGCCGCCGCGTCGGGCGATCCCTAGCTCGGCCAATCTTAGCCGCACTAAACAATTAAAAAAAATCCAATTTTCTAATTATTTTCTGCGCTAGTTTCAACGGAGAGGGTAATTTAAATAAAATAAAACAAAATTATTTTAAATTATTTTATTTACCACATACGGTAATACAAAATCATATTAAATAATATAAAAAGTACAGTAAATAATAGGAATGAGTACGTAACTGCACGGGAACCACATTGTCTCATTTGCTCCAGTTCTACTCCGCAATGGAACACAAACTGACGTATTGTATCAAGTTGAAGCGACACCTCCAGATCTTGCAGACGTCCACAATGTGAAGTGTGCAGATGTCGGTACGAGCGGTCGCTGGCAGAGCTCTTTTATTGATTAAATAATAAATTATGTAATAAGTTGTGTGTGAAAACTGTGGTTTTCTTTTTTTTACGACAACCTATAATAAAAAGAACACGTCAGATGTAAAATGGTCTGTTGAACACTTTCCGGACTGGTTTGCAATAGTGAACATTCGTGAGTAGACTAGTTTCAGACTGATCATGAGCACGCCTGCTAGCGGCTCCGGCCTGGGGCGACGAACGAAGAGGAACAGATGTGAGGGAGTAACTGACTTCACGTGGTTTTTAAAGTTATGACGTCAGCGACTAATTCCGGCGCGAATGATGACGTCAGCAAATGACGTCATTCTATTCGCTGTTGTCATTGCCTTTCATACTGATAATAATTAAGACTTACTTTTCCAATGAATTCTATTTATTACATTTCAAGTGTACAAAGATACAACCGAGAGCTCCGCCTCGTTCGGCTGCTCGAGTCGGAATGTTTTGTGCGACAATAGTCACTTTAATTTAAAGTAGAACGTGGGAGTAGCTTAGTCATGAATTCTCTTAAACACAGTCTCACACATTTGTTTACGTGTTGGACTTTACAGTAGTTAACCAACAATATCAACATTGAGGAGTCAGTTAACTTTAACTAACTCTAATTTTAGTTAACTAAATAGTAACGTTGTGCTGATATATAGATGTTCAACAAAAGGCGAAAAGTTTATAAATGTAAGGAAATGAGAACTTTATTAATTCGATTATTCATCGAAAAAGGAAACTTTAGAACATAAATATACTACACGCAATCAGGGCAGTTAAGGAGTAAAATCTTAATTTTGTTAAACAATCCTTATTTGGCATAAAAATTTGATCACGATTCCTATCGAACCGGACACGCCGCGCCGCGCCCCGCTCCGCCCCGCCCCGCCCCGACACGACAACACTTGAACGAACAATACTGTATATTCATTTCCGGGTTTTAGGAAAATACGGTTAGCAAACAGGAGAACTTATTTGAATACATTTATAATAATTTCAACGTATACTTATACTTATATATACTTTGGAAACATTCTTCAAGCAATACTATTTTCAAACATTCCATATTATTTTACAAATATATTCTTTTAAACTTAAAAACTAATATTTATTTACTAAGTTCGGAAAGTAAACGTATTAAAGTCTGTGCCAAGAGACACCGTTACAGATTCGTAGTAGAGTCTAGACCGAATAATAAATACGTTTTGTGATCAGAAAAGATGCGAAATATAAAAATTTTACATTCATATGACGCGTGCGCACCCGGCGGCTCCATTTGGCCAACACATCGACGCTTGAAAGGTAAACGTGACTAAGCGACAATAACTGCTTTGTACATAAATTATATATAAATTATATATAGGCAATAACCATATTCGATGCACAAAAAAGAATATTTCTAGGTCTATTAAAATCATTTCAATCCTACAGCTAGATTCGTTAAAATAGAATTTTGTTTTTTTTTTTTTTTTTTTTTTTATTGCTTATGTCTGTGGACGAGCTCACAGCCCACCTGATGTTAAGTGGTTACTGGAGCCCATAGACATCTATAACGTAAATGCGCCACACACCTTGAGATATAGTTCTAAGGTCTCAGTATAGTCACAACGCCTGCCCCACCCTTCAAACCGAAACGCATTACTGCTTCACGGCAGAAATAGGCGGAGCGGTGGTACCTACCCGTGCGGACTCACAAGACGTCCTACCACCAGTAATTACGCAAATTATAATTTTGCGGGTTTCATTTTTATTACACGATGTTATTCCTTCACCGTGGAAGTCAATCGTGAACATTTGTTGAGTACGTATTTCATTAGAAAAATTGGTACCCGCCTGCGAGATTCGAACACCGGTGCATCGCTTCAACACGAATGCACCGGACGTCTTATCCGTTAGGCCACGACGACCACTAAACTTGTTCAGGTATTTCAACTTTAAATTAGTCTACTGTAAAGTTCACGCATTGTCGCTTAGTCACGGTTGCCTTTCAAGCGTCGAATGTATATTTAGACGGGAGTTTTAACTTGAAATACGCTTAAATTAATTATTCATCGAGTAGCCGAGCCGCCGGAGTGACCGGTGAGATTGAGGCGCGGGCTACTTCTTCTTGTTCTTGCCGAGGGTGAGCGTGTGGTGCGGCTGCGCGGCGAGCTGCTTGCGGCGGCTGAACTCGACGGCGTCATCCTCGATCTTCTTGCGGAGCTCCTCCAGCCGCTTCTTCTCGTCCGTGTGGTCCTTCTTCAGCTTGTCGAACTTCGCGTGCAGCTGGAAGTTCCTCGTTTTTAATATACCTTGTTAACACAGGTCAATAACTTTTTATATTTTACATGGAGGTTTATACTCTACAAAAAAAATTAAAAAAAATACTTGATGCCATTGTCACGCTCCACAGCGACAATAAGAACCACCTCTTGATATAATCGATAGCTCAAACGGATCGCACGGCCGCCGCCCTGTACACACGGAGCCGTAGTCCACTAATGTACACTAATATACAACTTTTACACTATCAGTGACAAATCAATAAAAAGTTTACCTCCTTCTCGGCCTCTTTGAGTTCAGCCTCCTTCTCCTTGACCCGCTGCACGAACATCTGGCGCATCTCGTCCTCCTTCTGCTGCATCTCGGCGAGGTGGGCGCTGCGCTTCTGCTCGTACGTTTGTTGGAACGACACCTGCACAACAAGGCAACGTGTAGCGGGGCGCTGCGGGTGAGGGGGGTGGGCGGGGCGTTGGGAGGAGAGTCACTTCGATAAAGCGGCACGACATGAAAACCCTCTCATCGTGGCCGCCGGTAACTACATTCCCGATCCTGCGGACAGAATGGAAAGTAGTCGACGTCACCCCAAACACGTCATTTCGGTTCCTCCTGATCTACTAACGGTTCTTCTAGGTACCCCAAGCACCGACCATCGAGCCTTTCGTCGCAAGCGACGGGCTCGACGAGCAAATTAACCCTCAGACACAGTCCACTGAGTTTCTCGCCGGATCTTCTCAGTGGGTCGCGTTTCCGATCCGGTGGTTGATTCTGTGAGGCACAGCTCTTGCTAGGGTTCGTGTTAGCAACGTCGTCAGGTTTGAGCCCCGCGAGCTCACCTACTAGTTAAGGTTACGCTGATATAGCCTCTCAAGGCTCTCAGCTTGGGTAGGAGAAGGGGGCACACACGGGCTTGTTGTCGCGGTCGACGTCTCCGAAGCCCATCTGCTGCAGGCGCGCGCGGCGGTACAGCTCGTAGTGGCGCGCGTGCGTCTTGTCGCGCATGTCCTCCATGTTGGTGCGGATCAGCATCTCGCGCAGCTTCACGAAGTCGCAGTGGGACTCGCTCTCCACTGCAACCACACAACCACCACTTAAAATATCTAAAATTTATTCAATTGAAATCTAACAGTACAGCAGATTGGGGGGAATAGTGACTTGAGTTAGAATAGGGACAAATTGAGTTGTTAAATTTAACTTTGTTGAACTGAAAACAACTTTTATTTAGTGTTTAAGAATATTAAATAGTTTAACTTAGTCATCAAAGTTTTGTAACTCATTAAGATTATTAAAAAATGAATTACCTTAAGTGCTTACCTAACAACTAAATAGCTTTTGTGCATATTTTATAATGAACTGTATATAATAATTCATCATATATAAAATTTAAGCCTCCGGAACTATTCGAATCTCAATTTTATTGGTATTACCCTAAGAAAAATCATTGGGAATTTGTGTTGGATTTGGAAAGGTTCCCATTTTTTTCCTGCCTAAGCTGATAGCCTTGAGAGGCTATTTCAGCGTAACTTTAACTAGTAGGTGAGCTCACGGGGTTCAAACCTGAGTGATGCTGACACTGACCCTAACAAGAGCAGTGCTTCGCAGAATCTACCACCGGATCGGAAACGCGACCCGCTGAGGACCAGCGAGAAACTTAGTGGGTTGTGTCAGTCAGTGGGTTAATTCGAGGACGGTGACCAGTGCCTGTGGGTAGTGCTGCGTACCTTGCACGGTGCCCCAGGGGTACTGGCGCGCGCGCACGGTCTTGTTGCCGATCTTGACGAAGTCGGTGCTGCCGACGACGGCGAAGGGCAGGTGCGAGTTCATGGAGCCGTTGACCTCGGACACGGACTCGTCGTCCACCGGGAACTGGTAGATCTCCACGCCGTTCGACTGCAGCTCTTGCATTATTTTGGACTGCAAGTGTTCGGTACGAGTGAGTGACGCCGCCAACCACTTCGGGTGTGGTCTCCAGTGATTTATTGAGAAACTCGGTTATGTAGGTTGTAGAGAAATAACACTGGTGGTAAGACCTCTTGTGAGTCCGCGCGGGTAGGTGCCACCACCCTACCTATTTCTGCCGTGAAGCAGTAATGCGTTTCGGTTTGAAGGGTGGGGCAGCCGTTCTAACTATACTGAGTGAGACCTTAGAACCTATATCTCAAGGTGGGTGGCGCATTTACGTTGTAGTGTCATTGGGCTCTAGTAACCACTTATCTCCAGGTGAGCTGAGAGCACGTCCGCCCATCTAAGCAATAAAAAAAAAAGATTTTTTTTTAATTTCTCTACAATAGGTAAATAATTATTTTATTATATTAAAAATTAAATCATTTCCTCATCATTATTACATGTTATGAACTATAATTCGAATAGAAGACTTGATAATTAGTGCAATTTGAAAAAATTAAGCATCATTTTTCTTATTATTTTTCGTTCTGTTTTTTTTATTCATTCTTCTGACCATTTCTTTATGCATAAAACCAGATCTCTTGAGAAAGACAGTATAAGTAGAAACATATGAACAGTAATGAGTAGTATAGCAGGTTGTGTAGTCCCTTCAGATGACATCAAGTGCTGCGGTCAATATACAAACCTTGAACCTCTGCAGCTCAGTCTTGGAGATGGTGTCAGCCTTAGCGATGATCGGTATGATGTTCACTTTGGTATCGAGTTTCTTCATACACACCAAATCAATGGACTTCAAACCATGACCTGATAAAGAACAAATTTAATATTTCTCTTTGAATATTTGGAAATTCATTTGTCTGAACACTGTCCTGCAATGGTCACTACAATACCTTTTCAAGATATCATAATTTCCAACATGTCATTCTGTACATATTTATTTGTGAATACTTGTATGTTATGCTTTAGTTACTGAAATCGACATAATTACTTCAGTGCTCCATGCGGTCACCTATAGACACTAGATCCCATAGACACTACTCCGGTGGCGGGCGGTACGATGGTATCATCTCAAACAATTCCTCAGAGCACTCCAAATAAGCAATTGTATGAAAATTGCATATTGCAAATTGCTTATGAAACGCTTTAGAAGTGCCGTACTTGCCTCACTCAATAATATTGATGTCTACTCTGTTTAATTAAAATCAACTCTGAGATAACTAGAAAATATTTTATTTTGAGACAACTGTAAAATATTTTCTCTACCTGTCATATTGACCGATCGCGGTAGGTAGGATGAAAAACTCAGTGGGAGTTTCTCGCGATTCTGAATCCGTTGGTAGATTTTGCGAAGCACTGCTCTTGATAGAGCCAGTGCTAGCAAATTCTCTCAGGTTGAGCCCGTGAGCTAACCTACCCGTCCGCGCGTAGCTTTAATAGCCTCTCAGGCTACCAGCGATTAGGTAGAGATCTTTTTTCATGGCATTTTACTGGTGGTAGGACCTCTTGTGAGTCCGCGCGGATAGGTATCACCACCCTCCCTATTTCTGCCGTGAAGCAGTAATGCGTTTCGGTTTGAAGGGTGGGGCAGCCGTTGTAACTATACAGATACCTTAGAACTTATAACTGAGGACCGGATGAGATGGAAACAGTTCACGAGACAGGCAACGGTCGAGTTTCAGGGACACGACCTTCAGCAATGAAGAAAGCGACGAAGAAGAAGAAGAAGAAGAACTTATATCTCAAGGTGGGTGGCGCATTTACGTTGTAGACGTCTATGGGCTCCAGTAACCACTTAACACCAGGTGGGCTGTGAGCTCGTCCAACAATATAAGCAATAAAAAAAAAATGGCAGTCAAAGGGTTAATCAAACTGGGGGCACATTGATTTTGATATTGTGGTAAAATATTTTTGTTTTTATTATGNGAAGAAGAAGAAGAAGAACTTATATCTCAAGGTGGGTGGCGCATTTACGTTGTAGACGTCTATGGGCTCCAGTAACCACTTAACACCAGGTGGGCTGTGAGCTCGTCCAACAATATAAGCAATAAAAAAAAAATGGCAGTCAAAGGGTTAATCAAACTGGGGGCACATTGATTTTGATATTGTGGTAAAATATTTTTGTTTTTATTATGTCAGAATAATAATTTACACTTGAGCAGCCACGACAAATGTTTACGATACACTTGTTGGTGTTTGTGTACACTAATTAAGACAAATGTTTATCACTCGCTAAGGAATGTTAAACATACCAGTTGACAGTTCACAAAGAAATTTAATAATATAACAGGATATGTTACATGTGATGAATGAATTGTACCCCTCGAGACTTCGCGGGTGGGACGATGGGAGGAAACTATCGAACGCACAAAAGTACATGAATTTCCGTAAGTTCTGAAGACAGGCCTATACTGAGACCTTAGAACTTATATCTCAAGGTGGGTGGCGCATTTACGTTGTACATGTCTATGGGCTCCAATAACCACTTAACACCAGGTGGGTTGTGAGCTCGTCCACCCAGCTAAGCAATAAAAAAAAGAAAAAAAGGTGGCACTGTGGGTCGGCGCGGCGGGTGACCCACTCGCGTTAAGGCGATACGTGAGCTACCCATTTGGAATATAGAAAGTAGCAAACGTTAAGTAGATCGCGCTTCCCGTTAGCTCGGGCTCCAGGGAGCTTAGTAAACCGGGGCACGAGGCTAGTGAAGCCACCAGTACACGTGCGCGCGTCAAATTTATTTCTCAACGAATTTATTATATAAACAGAAGCTGATGCAACTATCGGCCATCCATAAAAATGTTTTACTAACCAATTTGAATATTATTATTGTATTGAAAATGTGATTTAATAGGGATATCTATTAAAGTTGGTGATCTTTTGCACTGGCACAGTAGGTATTGTGTAAAAAAAATTACAAGCAAATATCAAAATGGGGATGACTGAACATTTGCTGGAGCAGACAGCAATGTAACTGATTTATGGTCAAGTAACATTGGCCTACATAACAGTTCCTAGGTATGTTTGTCTCTAATCTCTGGCCTCATAATGGTTTCCTTCATACAAATAAATGAATTCAACATTTTATAATATATACAATTCTAAAACAACAATGCTCAGCATCAAAGACACTAATATAATCAGTAATGAATATTTTAAGAAACAATTCTTGAAGCTTTCCAAGTATTCATGGATATTAATGCATCAGCTTACCTGTTGGACAGATGAAGTACAGACAGACATGCAGTCTGCTGTCATGATAACTGGACAGTGAACGCTTGATCTTCAGCTCCTCCTGCAGGTAGGCCTCAAACTGAGCATCAATGTAATCCACTACCGCTTTGAAACTGTCTTCTTTATTCACTTGGTCACCATAACCGACAGTGTCACAGATTGTTAACTGTAAGTGGAGAATAGTATATTAATTAATAGTATTTACTGATCATTTTTAAAGTCCTAAAAATCATTCTCATATCTGTCTATATTTCAATTAGATTGAGTAATGACTGTCCCACCTTTAGACAAAAGCAGACAACTACCACCCAACAGCACTAAGGCATATAGTATTGGTACCTACTTACTACTACTACTAGCTACTGGTACCTACTTATGTAGATCATTAAGCTAGATTTTAACTTTTAGAGTCAATTACATGAATGAATGCAAATAATTGAGTTTTTTTTACCTTCAGCCTAACGTTGCTTTCCTCCAGTTCATAAGTGTGAGCCTTCAACTTAACAGTAGGTAAGTTATGAGGACTCGGAGATGATTCAAAGTTGGTATTGAACAGAGAGTCCATTAAAGTTGATTTACCAAGGCCAGTCTCACCTATGGATGTTAAAAAGTATATTTAAATTGAGTGGAAGATAATTTTAAAATTACCTAAAATTATGAGTTTGTTCAAACATTCAAATCATAAGTCAAAAGAATGATTCTTAATATTGCATTGAGTGTTACGATTTTATGATACTTTCTTCTTACACAGGTACTATTAAAATAAACATATTAAATTATAATACTTTCCTCTTACACAGGTACTATTAAAATAAACATATTATTTAATAATCTATTGTTGACTTTACATTCTTCCTTAGCTTGATCAAATCTAACTGTCTGTAAATTATCAGACGAAAGCTCATTCTGTTACATTTTATGACCTAAGCATATTGAACTTACAAATACACGGAATACCTAAGCGGATAAGAAGTGCTTTTGTGTGAGTAACACCCATCGTAACAAATAACATGAATCATCACAACTATACGTACCTATACACAGAATATTGAAGACGAAACCATTCTGTATGCTTTTACTGACCAGCTGGTCAGGTAGACTGTCGAAACCAACATGTCCCGATAGTTTCAAGGTGCGTAGGGTAGGTTCCGCCTGAAGGAAACAATGCGGATTCAGCTATATTTTAACAAGTACTAGGCTTACAGAATTTGAAAGTGATTGCCTGATATACATTGAATGATTATGTAGTAATTACAGAATTATTTGTGCTTTGGTAATTTGTTATAGCAATGTATGTTATTTCGATTTAATGAAGTTCAACTAGTAACGCCCATGTCGCGAATTTGATATTTAACACAGTAGTTGCACAAAGCGCGGATAAACAACAATGAAAATGATATTTATAAATTGTATACTATTTAATCTTGAATTGAACACCCATTTATTTTAAAAAGTATCACTTAAACTCACTTTAGTTGGCTCAACATCGATCGCCGCCATATTTACGTGTTGACTGGCGGATTGAATGAATAATAATCAGTCAACATTGAGTTTGAATGAACGAATGGATATGTGCAACATGAAGTTACAGGTGAACATGAAGTAAGTTACTTCACTCTTCAAAGCTACCAACATGGCCCCGCGAAAAGCTAGTTCAAATAATTGTTCATTAAATTATTTAAATATCAGCAAAATTAGTTGATATAATATCATGCGAATTGATTTTTAAGACGTTTTGTTTTTAATAAGTTTAGTTACAATAGTTTAAATTAAATACGTTGTATTATGGAGTTGATAACTATTTGTTTAAATCGAAAAAGATAAAAAATTACAACATTGTGTTATGTTGCCGTCTTTGAATTTGTAGTAAGAATTACCAGCACGAAATGATTGCACACAAAGAGGTAGACTGTATATTAACTAAACATTGACCTTAATACTTTCTAGAAACTAAGCTAGGGTGGTTAGGCTTATTGGTTATGCATAATCAAATTTACTATTACTGTGTGTGTACTATTTAAATTCATCCGGAATGTCTAGGAAAAATATGTCTCTAAAATCATGCATATTTTGTTTCACTGCATAAAATTAAAATTACGAAATAAAATAATTGAAAAGTTCATGTTTTTTAATGATTGTACGGTAATATAACCTAAGTACCATTTTAATGCCTAATACTTTAAAAGTTTTATGGGCGAGATGATAATAATGCTACAGAAATAGTTTTCGAGAACACATTCACATAAAATTACCATGAATATCACCAAAACTGAGTAACTCAAAATGCTACCACTTCATGTTTTATTTGGAAGTTTTTGAAATACACAACATGGCAGCATTGCTACATTTCAAGATGGCAGAATGCGACTTCGGTGTGTTATCATGTGAGCTGAAAAACTAATGTTTTTCTGAATTTTATGATCGTGAGTGGATTATAATTTTGTGTATCAGTGAATTGTGACAAATTTAATCATGGCGGACTTAAAATCACCGCCTTTTAGTGACATAAAAAGACCAGAAGAAGTGGTTCGCATGACGACGAACGATAGTCTGAAATTTGCAGTTCTTATCGGTTTGATTGAAGTCGGACAGGTTACCAACAGGGAAGTGGTGAACACCGTCCTGCACTTGGTAAGTCGACAACGTAACCAACATAAGTAGCCCATCACCAGCGTTACAAAACATGAGTATTGGACGGATTCACTTAGACAATGTATGATCTCTTTTAAGTTGTATTCATATTCTGTGTTGTTATTGATTTTATAATGATTTGGGTATTGTGATTATACAATTTATACACAAGTCTGTGGTTTAAACCAAATGTAAAATTTGTTTTGAATGTTGTTATCGATCGTGTTGTTACTACAATGTGTACCGGCGGGTTTGTTTTGATATTTTGCAACCGGCGCTCGCTTACATATTACTAATTGTTTCCTCGCAGAAATACTACCTATAATGCAACTATTTGCACACGTATTACTGTTTGTCTAGTAACTTTATGAACGAGACATCCGTGTCCTATTGATTAGTTTCATTTGTTTAAATTCACATGAGAATATGTAATATATATTGATTGCATCATTTAAAACTGGCCTTGACTGATTAGGATGTTGGAGGCTCTATGAGACACGTTCCCAACGAGTAATGACAATTTAAAAACGTAGGTACGTCACTATAACCAGAAAGAAGGTGAANGTCTAGTAACTTTATGAACGAGACATCCGTGTCCTATTGATTAGTTTCATTTGTTTAAATTCACATGAGAATATGTAATATATATTGATTGCATCATTTAAAACTGGCCTTGACTGATTAGGATGTTGGAGGCTCTATGAGACACGTTCCCAACGAGTAATGACAATTTAAAAACGTAGGTACGTCACTATAACCAGAAAGAAGGTGAAAGCGATAAGTACGTATCGCCGTTGTCCATGGTCGACTGTGGATCACCTTCGAAAGAGATGCTTGTATGCTTAATTTTTTTTTTAAAGAAACTGTTTGATACTTCTAATATTCTTCTGGTGTTCCTTTCCACAGATTCCGATCATCTCCTGATCCATCTCATTCCATTATAACGAAATCCTGTTTCAAGATTATCCAAGAATATTTTGATTGATAATAAATCGTCGATTTATAGTAGTTAATAAGAAAACAGAAGAACTCATTTAGAAGCATTCATTATTCCATCAAAATCGTCATTTTCTACGTTTTATGAATATAACATTCTTAATCCTGATATACCTAAAACAAACTAGAATTAAATTAAAATATTATGGACATACCTACAGACCTATTTGTTTTTATTTATTTCGAACTCTCCAACTGTGACGAAATGCGATTATAATCTTGCCATTTCTGCATAAAAAGTCGCTAGAATGTACTACAAAAAGTAGAAATCATTCATTGCATGCATTATCGACTTTCTTTTTCATTAAAGTTAAGCGGTTACTGGAGTCCTTAGACATCACAAAGCATGGCTTCTCTCATTTGGAGACGTGAGGTCGAAATTTCAGTCGTATTTAAATGAACACTATTGAAGATCGAATGATATGCAGTTCACGACATCCTTGCAACACCTGTAATTACGTAAGTTGATTATGTATGTCGGTTTGATTTCATACATTGCCGGCTCATACATACATTTCAGTCTCGCGGATCGTTTGAGATTTGGTTCTCTCCGTGTCTTGTATGATGAGGAGTGCTTCGCAGAATTATTCGAGAATGTTCCTTCATCTCCATTTTACTATAGTTCCGCCCGACCTGAGTTCTGAGGTCGAACAGAGTTAACAATATTATCTAGAACCGTTACGTTCATCCCCAGTGCTGTTTTAGATCTTTTTTTTGGTACGTACCATCCGGCTTTGGAATGAAGTCCGTGCTGCTTTCCAAGAACTCTATGACGTGTTCTTATTCAAACTTGTTTTGTAGAGTCCTTAGCAGTAGATAGCTGCCTGTTTTGCTCCTTGTATTACTGACAACCATATGATGGTGATCGTTTACAAACAAGCGGTAATAAAAAAATACTTCACGAGTGAATAACTAGTCATGTTAGGAGTACGTACCGATACAGACCACGCGTTTTACATATGTAAATAATAACGTAAAGTTTGGTACCGAAACAGATAATGATGTTTGCTTAAAAAGAAATAAAATTCAGCTGTAGTTATGACAAAGAAAACAAAACCACACATTTAAAAATCGATAAGTATATAGTTTGAGGTTATTGCATGACGTGGTCTCACCGACGCGGCCGTGTCCATTAGCCGGTCGTATTGCTGTGAATGTTTTAATTTAACCACCAATGAACAAGAACATTGTAAACAAATGAAAAATTGTTAATTTTTACTGTCATTGCCAATACAATAATTTGTTAACGGTGAATTAAATTGAGCTACGGACCAAAACTATTCCTTAAAAAGTACTATCGGTAATCTATCTTCTATATCTATATATATAAAAATGAATTGCTGTTCGTTAGTCTCTCTAAAACTCGAGAACGGCTGGACCGATTTGGCTAATTTTGGTCTTGAATTATTTGTGGAAGTCCAGAGAAGGTTTAAAAGGTCGATAAATATGAAAATACTTGGAATTATATACAAATAACAATTTTGTTTTTCCTTTGATGTGTCCCCCGTAGGACGGATTCCTTTTGTTTGTTTTAAGTTTATTTTATACAAAAGGTTAGGTCTTTTATTTACATATTGAGGCACTACGAAGTCTGCCAGGTCAACTACTTAGTGGAGAATAGAAAAATCTTTTGATTCACTTTAATGACGTTATGAGTACGTACCACTTGCCGAATATCCCCGGATAAGTCTGAGGTGCGTATTACAAATCGTACTACCCCACAAATATACAATACAAAATGTCATAAAACGTAAAATGTAATAAACGAATAGGTCCGTGTCTTTGTTTAGCATACTTTTCCTGTATATGCTGCAGAAATTAGTAGATTTGCTGCGTTGCATGTGTCAGCCGGGGCTGCATTTAGATATCCGTCGTTATACCAAGACGGCACGTCGAGAAAGTATCTCCGCATATAACCATTTGTATAGAATTGTTTGACATTAAAATTTAGTACTGTAGTGTCATCATTTATATAGTTAAAATTCAATTAAGCGTGGGAGATAGTATCTTATACATCGTCACCGAATATTATTCATTTGCCGTATTTTAAACAAAAAAATTGTGTCATCAGCGAATAATATGATCTCGTTGCACTATTAAGTACAACTATTTGATTCATATCTATGTTTACACGTTTTTATATTTTTATTTATTTTTATTGCCGTATAGGCAGACGAGCATACGGCCCACCTGATGGTGAGTGGTTACCGTCGCTCATGGACGTCAGCAATGCGAGGGGCAGAGCCAAGCCGCTGCCTACCGTTTAATACTCTCCACAAGCCTCGTTTGAAGAAGGACAGGTCATAGCGCTCGGGAAACACCGTGGAGGGGAAGCTCATTCCATTGCCGGATGGTACGTGGCAAAAAAGATCTCTGGAAACGCACTGGATGAACGTAGTGGCTCCAGGTAGTATGGATGAATTCTACTCCGGTGACGGGCGGTGCGATAGTAAAAACTAGATGTCGGTATCATCTCGAACAATTCCTCAGAGCACTCCCCATGGAACATACGGTACAGAATACAGAGGGAACCGAAGTCCCTCCGCAGACCCAGAGGTTCCAAACGATCCGTGAGAATCTTGTCTTTTATTATCAAATTTAATTAGCATCCATGTGCTCTTACTATGTTTTACTATGATACTATGTTTTCGCATCCTTTACAAACGATACTGTGTATTGCAACATTTCTTATTATGAATCCATAAGTAGAATTAATTAAATACGTGCGTACATATGTGTTTTGTTGGTAACTATTTCGAACAAATAATGTCAATCCGTTAAGATTTATGTCGTCTTTTAACAACGTTTTTCAATAGGCGGGAAAAGATAATCATTTTATAGTTTTACGTCGTCATTAAGTGTCAATCTCTCAGTTACCGACGTGACAATACATTGAATGTTTAACCAAAACAAATCATTTTAAATGAAATCGATTCGTCTATCGAGTGAATTTAATTTTGCACTATCAGTTTATCAGTTTTTTTTTTTTTTTTTCCTACCTATGCTGATAGCCTTGAGAGGCTATTTCAGCGTACCCTAGCTTGTGTAGGTGAGCTCGCGGGGCTCAAACCGGAGAATTGCTAACACCGCCCTAGCAAGAGCAGTGCTTTGCAGAATCTACCACCGGATCGGAAGCGCGACCCACTGAGAAGATCCGGCGAGAAACTCAGTGGGCTGTGTCGGTGGGTTAATTCGCTCGTCGAGCCCTTCGTCGCAAGCGACGGGTTCGGCGAGGACGGTGACCGGTGCTTGTATTGCCTAAAAGCACCGTTAATGGATCAGGAGGATCCGTGATGACGTGCTTTGGGCGACGTCGACGGTTTACCAAACGGTCTACAGGATCGGGTATGTAGTTTCCGGCGGCCACGACAAGAGGGTTCTCATGTCGTGCCGCCTTCTCAAAGTGGCGCAGCGATGCCGACTGTAGATACTTACTGACGGGGTCGAGCTC